GAGGGCTTCGCCACTCCCCCAGCAACCTCCCCACTTGCCCCCTCCTATTTCCCACTCAGAGCTGTTCAGCAGCTACTCAAGCCCAAGGGTGCTAGGGCTTCAGTAGGTATGGCGAGTGCCCAGCAACGTGGCCACCTCCCAGGCATCGCAGCTACCCACCTGGAGCCAGAAGCTGGCCATGCCCTAGAGAGGCAAAGCCTCTCATTCCTCAGATAGATGTGCATGCCTTCAGCTGTCAAGGGTGGGTTGAGCATCCAGCTGTACCAGGCACTGTACTTACTGAGTGCTGGGGATGCCAAGGTAGATAAGGCCTTGCGCCTGTGGCTGCAGTGCGGTGGCCCACAGACAAATGGAGAATGCAAATCAGAGGGTCCAGGGAGGACCTGGAGCCATGGTGAAGGCCTCTGGACAGGCAGAGTGGGTAGCCAGGGAGGGTGTCGTGGGGATGAGCACCTGAGCATTTCTGCTGCCAAGTTCACTCACTGCACAAATATACACAGAGTGGCAGGCAGTGGGCAAGATCTTGGGTGCCAGAGTCAATAAGATGAACGTGGTGCCCATTTTCACTGGGTGAACATTCTCATCCTTGTGCCTCAGGGTCCTACCTACAAAGGTAGGAAAAGTCATGATAGGTTATTTATTTATTTACTCGTTTATAAAAATTAAAAAACGTTTATTTTTTTATTTACTCGTTCAAACACAAAAAGTTGTTGAGGGCCTTCTCAGTGTGGGGCTTGGCTTCTGGGGGAAAGGTGTAAGATGAACACCTTGCTTCTGCCTTCCAGGACTCCTCTGGCGGGTAGGCAGTTATCACAGAGACCCTCATAATGATGTGCCAAGTGGTCTGGCAGGGGCTTGCCTGGGTCACTCAGCATAAGGCGCTCAGAGATCAAAGCCTGAGCTTAACCTGGAGAAGTGAGGGGCAGCTCTCTGTAGGAGCTGGCTTAGAGCCCACTAGAACACAGTGGCAGTTTTCCAGGTATCCCAGATTGATAGGGTATTCTAGACCTTACAGAGGCCAAGGTGAGGTCTTTGAGCTGTATAGAAGGTGAAGTGGAAGGGAAAGATGATTCCAGGAATCTTGGAAGGCAATGACTTATTCCATAGTCTGTGGCAAAGAGCATGATTAAATATGGAGATAGGGATTTGTAATTTAGAGGCTGGAAGCACCTGTGCTTTTCATTTAAAGTTGGGAACAAGGTGTAGTTTCATGAATGATGGAATCCCCAAATTGTTAGGGACATGGCTCAAGTGGCCATATCCCAAGCCCGCCAGCATGACGCTTAGGGATTGGGACTGGGCATGGTATCCTGTAAGTCCTTTGATAGGAGTGAGGCAGAGGCACAGAGGACAAGGAAGAGAGGCCATGGGCTAGGCCAGAGAGATACAGGCTGGGAAGGTGGGTGGGCCCCACTGTAAACGTCTCTGGCAAAGTAAATTGGAAGACTTGGGTGGATGGGGACCTAGTGACCAAAAGTGGTAGACCCTAAGCTAGGAGAGCGATGAGACAAGAGAACACACAAGGGGAGGATGAAGGAGAGCAAAGAGAGGTAGGGGGAGTGGGTGAGGCTCATGGAGGCACTTTGGGGCCCCCATGGCAGGGGACGCAGAGATGGAGGCGTCAGTCATGGTCATCTGATGTGCTCACAGGGAGCTCTGGAGCATGAAACCAACTCTGCAGTCCCCTCATGGGGCTTTCACACGCTGACACCATGTAGCTTAGCCAGGTCCCTTACCTGCCTGCTTCCAGTTCCCCTAGGCTGTGCTTCCCAGCCAGGCCCAAGGTGGCTGGAGGGACCTGGGCCTTCAGGGAGGTCATCTGCCCAACCTCCTAGATTGCCAGGGTTTAGACCTCTCCCATGCTTTCCTCACAGATCAGAGGTGGGAGGCTGCCCAGAATGGACCTCGGTCTCAATGCATCAGCCTACAGGACATGACCAGAGCCGTAAACTCAGGCAAAATGACCCTCACAATGTACTATGAGAAACACATTCATTGTTAACATTTGACTGCTGGGAGACTGTCCCTTCAACCTGGGTCTGGGCTCTCTAATTCACTGGCCTCTACCAGGAAGCTTTTGTCACTGTGTCACCTGTCCTGAGGACAGTTAAGTTTGCAACCTGGCTGAGTCTCTACAAAGACACCCCCTTTGGAGAGCTGTGGGCTTCCAGCCCACTTGTTTTCACAGAACCCCAGGACCTGAGTAAGAAATATTGTTGTATCTCATACCAAGTAGGAGCACAGGGCTTAGAACTGTTGGTTGTGTTGACTAAGTGGCTTGGCTCCCATGGTGGGGGTGCTGGAGCCCAGACTGAAACTACTCACATTAAAATAATGTAAGGCCATAAGGCAGGAATAGTAATAAAAGTCTAATTTCTGTGGAAGTGTTCCTATAGGTAAAAGTTAACTAGCCGTTATTCCCTAACTTCTCTACTGCTGTAACTGCTCACATAGCCTTGAAAAGTGTAAGATTTGTGACTTCCCCAACCCTTCCATCACCAGTGTAAATCTAAGACTGGTCTTTGAGATACAGCCTCAGCACTGCATCAACGGGCCCAGTGGCCAGCCCCAGGAACTGCCCCAGGAACTGACCACCAGCAGCTCCTGTTTACCAAGAAGACAATTTCTGCTTCCCCACAGTATGAGTTCACCTCCAGCCAATCAGCTGACCCATTTCCCTACCCTTTTGTTCCCCAAACTACCTTTAAAAATCTTAGCTCCCAAATTCTTGAGGACATGGATGTGAGAAATTTCTGCCCTCTCTTCACCTGGCACCTTGTGATACCAAACATTCTCTGCAGCAGCTCCTGTTGTCTAAGCATATTGGCCCTTGTCTCTCCTCCTGGGTGGAGTCTCGCGCCTGGACCTAGCCCGCGGCCAAGTTGTGTGCGGCGTGATCCGGCCTATCTGGATGACCAAATGCACCTCCCCCGCAGCACCGGACTCCTCGCCTCACCCCCTGCGCCTCTCTCCCTGCAGGGGGAGCTGTTGAGCCCTTGCCGCTGCGACGGTTCAGTCAAGTGCACGCACCAACCCTGCCTCATCAAGTGGATCAGCGAGCGGGGCTGCTGGAGCTGCGAGCTGTGCTACTACAAGTACCACGTGGTCGCCATGAGCACAAAGAATCCCCTGCAGGTACCGGGGCGCCTCGGGCTCAGGGGTGGCCTGTGGGCTGGAGGGCAGGGAAAGACTTCTGTATTTCCTCTTCAGACTCACCAAGGATAACAGGATGGGGCAAGGAGAGAAATAGACCCACAAGGAAAGAAGCGCAGAGGAACAGATGGAAGAGGGAGAGTAAGAAGGTGAATGGGTGGATGAATGGATGAGGAAAGGAAAGGAAAGAAGAAAGAGAAAAAGGAAGGAAGGAAGAAAGGAAGGATGGAGGGGGGAGGGAGAAAAAGAAAAGAAAGACTGGAGGGCAGAGGTGAGCAGGACACACACAGAGAAGACCAAGGCTGGGAGGGCTCATAAGATGAAGCTAAGGGCTGTAGACAACCCGAGGAGAGGAGAAGCAGAGGCCTTCCCAGACTTCAGTGCCTATAATTCACCTGGAAAATTGTCAAAGGCAGACTGGTCAGCAGGTCTGGGCAGAACCTGAGACTGCATTTCTAACAAGCTATTAGGTGATGCTGCTGCTGGACCAGAGACTCTACTTCCAGCGACAAAAGACAGAGAGAGACATGGAGAACAGACAGGAAAGGGCAGCAGAGAATAACACGGAACGGGGGACAAGGAAGAGAAGAGCAGGGAGAGAACAGAAAAGGGCAGGGTCAGGTGAAGGTCTGCCAGAATATTCAGGCAGAACTTAGGGCTCCCTCTTCTTACCCCAGCACCCTGCTCTGACACATCCACCATCCCCCAAGGAGCTGACAGACCCTTGTAAGTGCCCCCAGATCTAACAGCTGTCCCTGCAAGATGCATACACTACACAGAACATTTTGCTTCTGGAAGTAACCACCGCATAAGCGTGAACAGCCAATTCAGATGCTACATAATCACTTAGCCAGTATCATCATGAAGATGGGGACGTCAGCTGTCTGGCAGTGGCCCTCCTCCTCTCTTGGAGGAAAGGGGGAGAGTCCACCCTGTGAGCCCAGGAGGACTGGGTGGTTTGGTGGTGATGGTGGGGTGGGTTCCTTAGACGGTGGGGCAGCTAGAAACGCCTGCAGCAGCAGTGTCCAGGGTGTTTTATTTTAGACCCTAAGGAGTTTTGCACAGGGCACTCCCAGGAACGAGAGAGTGTGTTCCTGCGTGTTCAAATGGGCGAGGGGTGGGGGCATGCCTGGAAAGTGGCACCAAAAGCCCCAGGCAACTTAGCCATCGCAATCCTGTACAAAGGGGCCAGAATGAGAGGTACCTTTCCCTGCCGCTGGCTCCATCTTCAATTCATTTCAAAATCTTGAAGTGTCTTAAAATAGCAGTGTCACGAGACAGCTGATTCCACGTCCTCTGGGCTCAAGCAGATGTCTGAATGCATTAACCCTCCCCTTCCTTTCCAGCTGGCTCAAGCCTCAAGAAAGGGTCAGATTCTCGACCTGGGAGCCCACCCCAAAGTGCCCTCTCTTAGCTGCACTCTTGGCTCACAAAATGAAAAACCATTTAGGGGTAATGTTTTCCTGAGAGGGGGGAAGAAAAGTTTATTCTTTTGGCAATATTGGTGCTATTGATCTACTATTCTTAAGTGCTACCCTGTCTTAACACCGGGGACGCCCTCCAATACTGTTACTGTGGGAAATGCAGTGGTGTGTGCTTAGGAAACGCCATTTCACTTCTGGATAAGATAGGAAGAAGGAAGTGGTTTGGACTACAGGTGGGATGTGGTTGTGACCTAAATTGTCTCAAATGTATGTCTGGAGCTCCTTGGGCCCAGCCAACTGTGAGACAGCTGCCCTCCCGTCCTCTGTGGGCAACTTCTACTCCCATATCCCAGCCAGCCAGACCATCTGTAGTACAGAATGGCAGGTGTTACTACCGCAAGTGGGTGGAGCAATGGATGAGGACCCCAGCACTGCCTCTGCTGGCTGAGAGGGGCAGTTCCTTCCAGGACTTGTGGGGCTCTCCCCTCCTGGGTCAGGCAGCATACAAAGTGGTGAGAAATCACACAACTACTTTCTATGGGCCATCATCTCAGTGGTACTCTGGCAACAGAGTTTCTAGCCAGAAGAACCCCTGGGGTCACAGCATGGCCCAGGGGGGCCTCAAGGCTGCATGGGTGCTTCCCACCCTCTCCCTGCTGCCCCTGAACTGCAGCCATATTAATGAACATTTAGTTGGTGCTTACTAGGTGCCAGACAGGTTCTAAACATTCACATATATTATCTAATTCAGTCCTGAAAACAACCTGATGATGTATACAGAAGAATATTATTATTCTTAATCTGTAGATGAGACAATGGAGACACAGAGGGTTCAGCCATATGCCCAACGTCACACAGCTCTTAAGGGGCACACAGGGAGTCTGAGTTTTGGTCCAGGCTATAAACCTCTGCCCGTGGCACACAGGCTTGTGTGGGAAGACCCCACCTTGACATGCTTGCCTGTCCTTGTGCTAATACACTGTAAAGAATACCCTTCAAAGCACTGGTTTAAGAGTTATTTCATTTAACCCTCACAATACTAGGAAGTAGGAAGGACCAATTAATTCCATTTCTTTGGAAGGAGAAATGGAGGGTCCTTCCGATTTACTGACTTCTGCTAGGTCACACTCAGCAAGCAGGAGCAGAGTTTGACCAGACTCGGGTCATCTGGCCCCTTACTCAGCACCCCTTCCTATTACTAGGAAGGAAACATTTAGTCTTTGTGCTGTCCCCCTTGGTTTGATCACTGGTGCTGCAGGAGTGCAGAGGATGGAGGCATCACAATACGGAGATCAGGATCTCGCTGGGAGTGAGCTTCCAACTTTCTGTGCTGGCGGCAGCATAGCCTGGCACCACGGGCATGCTTCTCCCCCTTCCCGTCCCTCTTCTGAGATTTCAGAGCTTGCTGATTCTCAGCTTTCTCTTTTCAGCTCTTCCTCCCTTTCCGTGGAGCCTCACAGACAGGGAGAGATTGCCTTGTCCTTAGCCCCCACCGCGATCCTTCATCACCCCTCACAGTGGGTCAGGAACCCTGTCTACATCTCCCAGGGGGCTTGGGAAATGGTAGCAGGTGGCTTTAGGGATGAAGGGGACATTTCTTTGCCTAGACATTTGGGATTTGTTTTTTAGTTTGTTTGTTTGTTTTGGAGACAGAGTCTCACTTCATCACCCTTGGTAGAGTGCTGTGGCATGACAGCTCACAGCAACCTCAAACTCTTGGGCTCAAGCAATCCTCTTGCCTCAGCCTTCCTAGTAGCTGGGACTACAGGCATCCACCACAACATCCAAGTATTTTTAGAGTCAAGTGTCTCACTCTTGCTCAGGTTGGTCTTGAACTCCTGAGCTCAAGTAATCTACCTGCCTCAGCCTCTGAGTGTGCTAGGATTACAGAGCGGGTGAGCCACTGCACCCAGCCCTATACTTGGGATTTTTAGTCTAAAAGCGCAACAGAAGATAAGGTCTATTGATGTCTCGATGGTAGAAACAAAAAACTCAGTTGGACGTGTTCATTCCAGGCAGCACTTTTCCCGGAAAAAGGACTTCTCATACATGAGAGAAGTCTGTAGCAACAGGCCGGGAAAATTTCTGGAAAATTTCTGGAAAATTTCTTTGCTATGTGTAACCCTAGTCTGGGGCAAGCAGTGGAAAATGTAAAGGCCCAGCGACCTGTAATGGGATGCTGTCCGTATCCTTCCATGTAAAGGCCGATGTCCTACATCTGGACCAGCACGTGACACATTTTCCAGTGGTTACAGTTTCTACCAGAATCCGGTCTTCCACCCGGGCCACTGAACACATGGTGAGTGGCTCCACTCACTTTGCTCCAAGTTCAGGTTGAAATGCTTTCTGGGGGTGTCCTCTGCAGGGCATTATGCAAATCTCTCTGCCTCCCCAAACCGGATCCTGTTAGTTGCCTCTTAGGACCATTCCTAGCATCGTGTTTACTCTTAGGACAAAGTCCAAAACCTGTGCCCATTCTGTGAGATTCGGGGTGGTCCCCTCCTTACTTTTCCACTTCTCTCATCCCACGAACTCTTTTGCTCTCTCTGCCCCACCCACTTGGATCTTCCTCCAGGTTTTCACACTCCCCGTGCTTTCTTACGACATGGGGACCGTGCACAAGCCTTTCCCGCAGCCTGGAGCACTCTGGCCTGCTTTCTTTGCCTAGTAAACTCCTACTCAGCTAAGCTTCACTTTCCCTGGGAAGCCAGATCCCACTATCATGGGCTCTCACTGCACCATGTTAGTAACTGTAGCTGTGAATAATTATTTGGTGCCTCAGGTCCCTAGACTGTCAGCACCATAAAGACTTCGTCTGTCTTTGCCTAGTGCAGAATCTCCAGCACGCAGCATAGTGGCCAGTGCTTTGAAAACACTCAATATATGAGGAAGTGCTTGCAGAAACCCCAGGGTAAAATCCAATCATGGCTCCTTTCGGCCTGTGCTGCCCGGACCAGCCAGAGAATCAGAGAATTACAGACTTAAAACTCACCCACACCCTAGCCTTTAACCCAGCGGTCAGTACGGCTGTTAGTGGCAGTGCTTTTTCTGTTAAAAGATGAGTTATCAGTGTTGATACATATTTAGTACTCTATAAGCTGTTTTTCTTATCCTGTACCCTTTTGTCCATTGACGTGGTAATCTCTAGCATGTGAATTACCTGACATGCAAGGTGGATAGTAGAAAACAAGCGAGAAAGAAGAAGACACGGCCTGTGCTCTCTCAGAACCTATGAAGGAGAAAATAGACCACATTGCCCTGAAAAGAAGATTCTGGGGCCCTGGGACACCACCCACACTAGCTCTGCATGTTGATTTCTCCCTTCGTTTCTCTGTCTTTATCAGGCACAAGAGTCTTCCCAGCATGCCTGCCCAGATCCCCACCATACAATAAATTATGATCATTCAATGTGATGAAAAAGTTCAATGTGAAACTCAGAAACCCACAAAAATGTCTATTGTGCCACAAGTTGGAAAACCCTGGTTTAAATACTAAATCAGAGGTGAGCCATTGGAGCAGCAGCAGAAGGAGAGACAGGGACAGGAGAGGGTGTCTGAGCAACAGTTAACCTGCGCCCTCTCTTCCTAGTGGCAGGCCATCTCCCTGACGGTCATCGAGAAGGTGCAAATTGCCGCCGCCATCTTGGGTTCTCTCTTCCTCATCGCTAGTATCTCTTGGCTCATCTGGTCGACCTTCAGTCCTTCAGCAAAATGGCAGCGTCAAGATCTTCTCTTCCAGATCTGCTATGGGATGTATGGCTTCATGGACGTGGTATGCATAGGTGAGTCTGGGACTCATCTCCCTGGACAGCAGGGAAACATGTGGCAATACCAGGCATAGATCCCTCAGCATCCCTAAGTGTGGGGAGCCAAAGCAGGTGTCCCTAAGCTTAAGATGTATGAGCTCAGGAGAGGCCAGCAGCTTAGATTTGAGGAGTATGTGGAAAGAAGGGGAGGCAGGGCAAAGAAGGATGATGTAAATCTTCCCTGAGCAAACCCGGCTTGCCCAGCTGAAGACACCAGTGAGGAGGCTCTGGCCCTAGGGAGCTCTGAGGAAGGCCAGTTGGTCAGTCTGTATGCCTCCGGTGGGCACCTGATGCTCCCAACACAGTGCTGATACCTGTGCCCTTATTTCTATCTCTTCATAGCCAAGTACCCAGAACTGGCCACACTGGCATCTGCCTACCCTTTCTCCTGGCTTTCTATGGTCCTATTTCAGTGCCCGTGTTTCTTCACTGGTTTTGTACCTGTGTTGGGCTCTGGGGCCCCTCTGGGAGTGGAAGGTGGAATGCTGTGTAGGCAGGCTTCAAATCTTTCCCCTGCTTCACCCTGAACCTCTGTAGTTTCATGGATTCCGTGTTTTAGAAGAAAGCTTAGTTCCTGCATCTTCCCCAACACCATTCACAGTCTCTACACCTCCTCTCTACTACCAGGGTGGGTTGGGGGCTGGAGGCCCGGGTCATTTTTTTCCCCAGCAGATGATTATGATTGTCACCTCCAAAGGCTTGGTCCAAGCAGGTGAGTGGTGGCGGCGGCCCAGTTTCTCTGAGGGAAATGAAGCATGCTTAGGCACTGGCCCTGAGGCCTCACCGGGGACTCTTGGGTTGTCCTCTAGGTCATAGAACTGGGGTCATCAGAGGTCCGCAGCTGTCTTCTCTGGGCCTTGGTGTGTGTATTGTATTAAATATGCAAAACTGCTCTGTTTGACAAGAAAATATCTACTAGCTAGAACGTGGCTGGTCTGATGTCGGTGTGAATTTCTTTGGGGTCCTTTATTATCAGGAATCAGAAAGGCCTAGAGACTCCCATACAGGTTGCAGCAGCCAGAGACCAGGGATGTTGGAACTTGTAAACAGTCTAAGCCATCTTGCTGCCTCTCCATGCTAGCAAAACCAATAGATCAACCCCAGTTCAAGAGCCTTTTAATTATAGCACCTAGGTGGTGAGAGAAACAGACAGCCTAGGTTGGAGGACTGTGAGTGAGGAGGAACTTGACATTGATGCATTCTAATTTACTTTCCCTCCCCACCAACGAACTCTCTTCCTACCCTGCTGAGCCCTGAATTGTTGGCGCCAAAAGCCAGGTGTGTCTCCATATGGAGGTTTGCAGCGGCACTGGCATGGAAGGGGAAACAGTGGAGGGCTCTCCTGAAGGGGCCCCGCCAGCTGCCCTTCATTCTCCTTCAGCAGGCTTTAGATCAGTCCTGACGCGCGCTTCTATGAGATAATGCTTTCCCATCACATGGTGTATCCGTCAGTATTGGCCACGATAATAGACAAGTCCAAAATCAGTGTTGTAAACAAACATTTATTTCCCACTCTGGGCTTTGTGGTTGTGCTGGGCATGGCTGGGCTTAGCTTCCAGCTGTGCCCTGGGTTCAGGTCTGCTCCTAGGCCTCCTCATACTGGGCCCAACCAAAGGAGCAGGGACTACTGGTGATCTTCTCCCTGCCAAGTGCAGTGAGAAGCAGTGAGTGGTAGAAACTTACAGTGCCTCTCACAGTTCCTGCTCAGAGCTGGTGCTCTGTCCCTCTGCCCACAGCCCATTGGCCAAATCAAGTCACCAGTAAGCCCAACATCAGCAGGTTGGTGGGGTGGGGAAGTATACTCTTCCTTCCTGGGAGGCAAGAAAGGGAGCCCAAATACCCTCTGCTGCTAATAAGTCCACAACTGGAAGACAGAGTCGAACACAGAGGCGACCACATGACCAGCCAGTATGATTCCCTTGCTTTGCAGCTGAGAGAAATAGGGCTCAGAGAAGGGGTGGAGTTTGTTCAAGTTTTGTGGCTTGGATTAGAAGCAGGGTCTCCTGACTCAAGAGAGTCCAGTGCTCTTTCTGTTAGCTGTCTTGCATCAGGTATCAGGTGTCCCACGGCCTATGGGATGCCTAAAGATACCACCTGCTGCGACTGTGAGTGTACCTGGGCCCATTGGCAGGGCCTCCCTTTGGCTCTGAGCCACCAGTGCTCCTTCCCTAGCCAGGTGGTACTCTGGCACCTCCTGCTCATGGAGCTGCCTCAGGGCTGGGTGCCTCTCCTCCTCTACCTGTTACCTGGCTCCTTTCTATCTGCCGCCTGCTCCCCAGCCCATTCTGTCACTCTCTTTTCCTTATACACACGTGGCACTCAGTCCTTCAGTTTGTGGGAGAAGCAGAGTGGGCTGAATATTGAGAGTTTTCACATTGTTTTCCTTTCTCCCCTGCTTTTAGAAAAACATAATAGCCCAGGATGCAAAGCCACACCATAGTCTATCCCTTCTGCTCTGACAAGCCAGTGACTACTCAGAGATAGCCATTGCACAGGAGGGGAATGCATGGGACCCCAATTACTTTGGGGGCCAGCCCAAAGTGGTCAGGTATCTTGAGAGCTGGACCATCTCACCTTCAAGGAGCTCAGATTGCTCTGTCATTTTTTGATTATATTGAAGCTAATTCGGTTTCAGAGCATGCCCCTGGGGACAAGGATTGTTATTCCCATTTTTCAGATCATGAAGCCCTGGAACTGAAGGATTTGTCTTAGGCTGATGCAGGCAGCAGAGTTGGACTCCCAGTGCAGTCTTTCTAGGAGAGCTGTCCGTGGGGGGAAGTGCTGCAAGATGAAAGAGAAAAGCAGCGACATGTGATCCAGACAAGAGAGTGGGAGGTGACAGGCACTAGTGAGAATCCACAAACAGATTCTTGTGGTTGCAGTCAGGGGAACTTTGATGGTGGCAATGATAATCAGTAGTGATGATGGTGGTTTTTAAGGGTGAAATTCAAGTATCAGCTACTTCTCTTTCTCTGCAGTGTCCTGACCAGTAGGGACTGTGAAGTGGCCGTCAAAGCATCTACTCCTTAGGGGCTCTCTGGAGGGATAATCAGGTGGAACCCACAGCACCTGTCAGGGGTACTTTTATATTTAGGCTCAGCTAGACATCCCGTCTCATGGGAACTACCAGAGACCACACAGGGCATCAGATTCACTCAGCGGGGTGTAGGGCAGGACCTTGGTCCTTGGCGTGGCAATCAGCTCACTTCAGTGGGGAGGGAGGTCATCGCCATACTCCACATCCTAGCCCAGGGCTAGTGTCTGGGCTCCCAAACAACAGCTCAGGGTCAAGGAGATAAGATCCAACATGGTGCCGGGGCTACTTGGGCATAGCATCCAGGGTCCCTGCAGGGGTCATAGTCCATTCAAGTCACTGTGCTCAGGGCAACCCAAAGCCAAGCCTCCCACAGGGAAACCGCTACTAATCAAGGGGTGCCCCTAGCCCAGAAGATGTTGTGACACAGCTGACGCTCCTCCCCATCAGATTTCCAAGGGAAAAGAGCAAGAATGCCAACCCAGGGTCCAGTGTGTTCTGTGAGAAGGAGCCAGTATCTCATCACCCCTCGCCTACTGCCGCCTGCCTCCAGGGGTGATCGCAGACCTCTGGCCACCCACACCTAGTTTGCTGAGCCAGTGAGAGGCAGAGAAGTTAGAGCAGGAGGCAGAGGCCTGGCTGGGCTGCCAGGAGGCACAATGCAGTCTCCCTGCCCCACAAAGACAGAAACACAGGCAAGAGAGCCACAGAGGGACCTCTGTCCCCTTCCAAGGCATTCGGCAGGTTCAACACCTGAACATGAGTTTACTCCCAGGGAAAAGTGAAAGCCTCCCATCCAGACGTCCTCAGAGGGTGGACAAAGATAATTAGATGGAATGGGAAGAGGAAGAAGAGGCGCCCCAGCAGAGGGAAGGGATGATGGAGAGGTGTGTGTATTCTCAGGAAGGGTTGGCCGGAAAGCAATGTGGAGTGGAAGACTCCCCCTCCACATGCCCAGGCTCTCTGCGTGGATAAATTCAGCCCCTGGATGAAAACGTTACCATCAAGAGAGAAGAAAACTCAGCTAGCCCTGTGGGAGCTCAGAGGCTACCTGAGAGGAGAAAACAAAGCCGCCTGCTACGGTGAGTTTGGGGGCTTTCCTGTTTTCCCAGCACCAAGAACAATTCGTCTATTCCTTAAGACTGCTAAATGACCACAGATAGCACAGAACATAAGTGAACATAAAATGGGTAGTTTTAATGAATCCTAAAAAACATATGTTCCTTCTCAATTGGAGCAGTGAGCTGAGGGAGGGCGCATGAGAGTGGGAGGGATGCTGGGGAGAAGCCGCGGGAACCGGCAGCCGCTCGGCAGATACTCCCTGCGTGAAGCCACATGGGCCGCACCCGGGGCTGTGTCCGTGCAGCTGGCCCCCAGGACATCAGTGGGCTATGAGAAAATCCAGAGTGATGACTCAGAGAATGGCCTCCAACACTCACCGAAGGATTCTGCCTGAAATGATTACCAGGACGGTCTGGGTCCCCTGGCTGCTGCGGCTCAGCTCCGGAGTGGAGGACGGTGGTGGTGGGTGTGGGCACACACAGCAGAGGGCTGCGCATTTACTGATACAGCGGCCTCTACAGACAAAGCTTTTCTCTGTTTAGAGCTCTAACTTTCTAGACCAGGGCATGCCACTGTGAAAGCCAAATGTAAGTTACTGTGTACAGTGCAAACCGTCACATCCCTACAAGGACAGAGGAACTGATTAAGGGCATAACAACCCTAAGAGCCAAGCAGGGTGACTACCAGTGAGGAAACGCCTAAAGCAGTGGTTCTCAACCTTCCTCATGCCAAGGCCCTTTAATACAGTTCCTGTGGGTTGCGACCCACAGGTTGAGAACGCTGGCTTAAAGCATCAGTGTTCCGGGTCACACAGCTAAGCAAAGGGCAGAGCAGAGGATTAGACCGAGAACACATGGCTGCAGCTCCAGGCTGCTCTCTA